CCACCCAGGCGCCCCTCAGATGGTTTTGATATTAAAATCCAATTGGAAATAAACAGAAAACAAAAATTTGTGCTGGAATTCTTAGAATGTCTTAAATAGGCTAACTTTTGCATAATGGCTAGCCTTTCATTTTTTCTCTTTCATATAATTGGAGAATTATGGCTTATAATTAGTGGTAGCCCCCAGGAAACATGGCAGCAGATCCAAAGAATAGATGTTAAGAATTTTTTATTGCGATCTAGGTTTCTATTGAGTCTAGTGATGGCAAATTTGGAGTTCTAGACTTTTCAGAACAAGCTGTTCTAGTCTGTTCTATGAAGCTTCTTTCTTTTCTCTTCTTCTAATACAGCCTTTAGAATTATCAATTTGACCCTGATAGGAGCCATGTTGGAAATCTTAAGGTTTGAAACACATGAAATAGTTCCTGTTTAGTTTTAACTCTAACCGAGAATTTTAAGAACCAGAATTAGTAAGGAGCCCAGTGCCCAATTTTTTTCTCTTTATCCCAATAACCACTTCTGTTTCCATAGTTGTATTGACAATGTTTCTTCTGTACTCATTTTAAAACTCAATTCAGTTGCATTTTCAGCTTATATATAACTTAACCTTTAAAGCTATAAGGGGTCTTATTTGCAAAAGGTAACCTATATGTATGTCACTTACTTAGAGATAAACACATAATAAGACAAGGAGGGGCCACATCTGGGGATCACAACAATTTAGTTCTGTGGTAGCCACTGTAATATCTGGGAAAGGAGAGAGAGGTGAGAATGACTCCCCCCGCAAAGAAGAAACTGAATGTTGTCTTCCCATCACTTTCTGTGCATTGGGGCCAGTCCTTAAACAGACTTGTTAGACCACTCCTGTCCCACTTGGCTGAACGTGGCCAAGTTGCCACAGTGGTGATAGGAACAGATGGAGGGAAGTGTGATTAGATTTCTGACCCAAGGCCTGAATGGATTCAACATTATACACCAGTGTTAGCATATAATAGAAAACTTAGCATTTATTCATTAAAGCATACAGGAAATCAACTTATTTCAAATAACACTACAAGTAATAGATTCTCCGTGTCCTGAATCTAACTAGAATTGGTGCAATTTGTCCACCCCTTTTTGGTTCTCTAAATACATCTAAGGATGGTGCTAACTATTCAGGGAAGCTGGGAGTTCCAGAGTTCTATCCATTCAGACTAACAGCAGAAGCCCTCACCGCCCCCCTACCCCGCAACCAGTGACCTTTAGATTTCTCATGTCTACCCTCTTAACTCTTTATCCTTTAGCTTCTTTAGTCATGATTAGCTTTTCATTTTTCACTGTCCCCTGGCAAAGTTTCTTCTTTTCTGATAGTTGTGATTCCAAAGAGAAGGCTTTTGTTTTCCTTATTTATGCTTAGATTCGCGTTGCACCATCTCCCTACAAAAGTTTACATTTTTAGACAGCTGCCTCCATTGAAAATACACTTTTTATTCATCCAGCGAAAACAGAATATGAACAGACAACAAAATAAATGTCCTTTTCGCTCCATCTCTTAGCCTACTTCTCATGATAGGAACAGCCTTATCCAATTTCAAGTTCCGGTTGAACACATTTAGCCATTTTTGCTCGAAGAACCAAGTCCGTGCAATATAGTACATTTCTAATCACATCTCCCCGTTTCTTCACCATATACTTATTTCTATTTCTCAAATATTTTACACAGAATTGGGCTTTGACTAAAAACCTTTCCACATTGATCTCTTTTGTTAGAATTGGAGATTGAACCCAAAGGTAAGTGCTTTCTAAATGCCTTTCTGCATCTTCTGTATTTTTAGGGTTTCTTTTTATCATGAGTTTTCTGATGTCGAGTAAGTTTTGAGTTTAAGCTAAAAGCTTTTCCACATTGATCACATACAAAAGGTTTCTCCCCGGTATGGATTTTCTTGTGTTTATTAAGATTTGAATTATTGTTAAAAACCTTCTGACATTCATTACATTTATAGAGTTTCTCTTTGGTGTGAATGTTTTTATGTCGATGAAAGTCTGAGCAATAGCGAAAGGTCTTTTGGCATTCGTCACACGTAAAAGGCTTCTCTTCAGAATGAATTTTCTGATGTTTAGTAAGGTTTGAGTGATATTTAAAGGTTTTTTTACAAACATTACAGTGGTAAGGCCTCTCTCCAGTATGAGTTCTTCGATGTTGAGTTAGATCTGAGAAACGGACAAAGGTCTTTTTACAACTGCTACACATGTTGTATTTCTCTCCAGTATGGAGGTGTTGATGACGTTGAAGATCTATGTGCTGGGTAAAGGTCTTTTTACATTCATTACATGAAAAGGGCCTCTCTCCAGTATGAATTTTCTGATGTTTTTTAAGATTTGAGCTGCTTTTGTAGGATTTCTCACAGTCGTTACATTTGTAGGGTCTCTCTCCAGTATGAACTCTTTGATGTAGGATAAATTTCGAGTATGGACTGAAGTCCTTTTTACAATAATTACACGTATAATATTTCTTTCTAATATGAATTTTTTGGTGTTGCATTTTTTCTGAGAAACTGTCAAAGGCCCTCCCACAAGACTTACAGGTAAAGAGTTTCTTTTGAGTGGGAGGTTTGTGATGGAGAATCAGGTTCGGTCTCTTGCCGATGTGAAATCTCTCGTGGGTCTTAAAGGAGGAGAGAAACCTGAAGGCCTTCTGACACACACCACAAGTGTATGGCTTCAGTCCACTGTGCACGTTCTGGTGTTGAATAAACTTGGAAGTGCTGTTAAAGGTTTTACCACATTGGTTACACTCCAAGCATTGATCTAGAATATACATTCTTTGGAGTGTTGTAAATGATGAGCAATGCCTAAAGGCCTTTGTGTTTTCACCCTGCCTGTGGGCTTTCTCTACCTTGTGAATTCTCTGATGTCCAGTAAGATGGGAGATATGATTGAAAGACATGCTGCAGTCCTCACATTCATAACACTGGACAGAAGTACAATTTTTTTTATATTTAGCCTGGTGAGAGCTTTGTCTGACAATATTCTCAGATTCATTAAGGGCATGATAATTCACCAGTGCTGGCTGACATGCTAGTAGGAAAACAATAGGAGGAAAATAAAATTAAATCCAGGCATTACAACAAACATCAAGATCATTAGTAAGTGGGGTATAGGAGAAGAGAACGTCTCAGTGACTGGGAACTTCAGAGAGGTAGGACAGGAAGTGGGGGTGGAGGAATGAGACGTGTTCTCCAAGTATAAGAATTTAAGTGATCAACATGTGGCCCATGAAAAATTTCTGTAAATTTGAAATACTTATATTTGTGACTGTTAAAAAAAAAAAAAGTAGTTAAAATTGTAATTACCAAAACAGAAAAGCTTAAAGAATCTAAAGAGAATCACATGAAATTCTAAACAGGGACCAAAGGTTGATTTTCCTTAAGGTTCTTTAAAATAGCTCTGTATAGATCTAGCAACTTGTGGAAGTGATTATACTTTAAGTGTTTTCCTTTGAACAACAAAATTGGGGGTC